AAAATGACAACAAATCATTTCCCCCATCACCCCTACCTGAAAGCAAAACTATCTCAATTTGTTTCAAATTGAAATGACAAAGGAACAGACACACAATGATGACAAAATCCCATCATTTCCCATGGATAAACTGAAAGATTTCAAAGCAGCTGACAGGCACATTCCTAATCCATTCAATCAAACCAGGCTTTTGAACATCAACAAACAACACATCCTTTGAGCTTGAGTTGAACCAGCAACCTAAGGACTTCTGATTTACAACCCTACAGTCCTCCGCTCTACCAACTGAGCTATCAAAGGGAACGTGCATTGATTATTTACAGGGGTGTACATCGACTTTTACAAACAAAATCCCATCATTTCCCATGGATAAACTGTCAGCTGCTTTGAAATCTTTCAGTTTATCCATGTACACCCCTGTAAATAATCACTGCATGTTCCCTTGATTGGTGATTATTTACAGGGGTGTACATCCACATTTACAAACAAAAATGACAACAAATCATTTCCCCCATCACCCCTACCTGAAAGCAAAACTATTTCAATTTGTTTCAAATCGAGATGACAAAGGAACAGACACACAATGATGACAAAATCCCATCATTTCCCATAGAAAGAATTCAAAGCAGCTGACAGGGACATTCCTAATCCATTCAATCAAAGCAGGCTTTTTGACATCAATGAAGAACACATCCTTTGAGCCGGAGTTGAACCAGCGACCTAAGGATTTCTGATTTACAACCCTACCGTCCTCTGCTCTACCAACTGAGCTATCGAAGGGAACATGCAGTGATTATTTACAGGGGTGTACATCGACTTTTACAAACAAAAATGACAACAAATAATTTCCCCCATCACCCCTACCTGAAAGCAAAACTATCTCAATTTGTTTCAAATTGAAATGACTAAGGAACAGACACACAATGATGACAAAATCCCATCATTTCCCATAGAAAGAATTCAAAGCAGCTGACAGGGACATTCCTAATCCATTCAATCAAAGCAGGCTTTTTGACATCAACAAAGAACACGTCCTTCGAGCCGGAGTTGAACCAGCGACCTAAGGATTTCTGATTTACAACCCTACAGTCCTCTGCGCTACCAACTGAGCTATTGAAGGGAACATGCAGTGATTATTTACAGGGGGGGAACATCGACTTTTACAAACAAAAATGACAACAAATCATTTCCCCCATCACCCCTACCTGAAAGCAAAACTATCTCAATTTGTTTCAAATTGAAATGACAAAGGAACAGACACACAATGATGACAAAATCTCATCATTTCCCATAGAAAGAATTCAAAGCAGCTGACAGGGACATTCCTAATCCAATCAATCAAAGCAGGCTTTTTGACATCAACAAAGAACACATCCTTCGAGCCGGAGTTGAACCAGCGACCTAAGGATTTCTGATTTACAACCCTACAGTCCTCCACTCTACCAACTGAGCTATCGAAGGGAACATGCAGTGATTATTTACAGGGGTGTACATCGACTTTTACAAACAAAAATGACAACAAATCATTTCCCCCATCACCCCTACCTGAAAGCAAAACTATTTCAATTTGTTTCAAATCGAGATGACAAAGGAACAGACACACAATGATGACAAAATCCCATCATTTCCCATGGATAAACTGAAAGATTTCAAAGCAGCTGACAGGCACATTCCTAATCCATTCAATCAAACCAGGCTTTTGGACATCAACAAACAACACGTCCTTCGAGCTCAAGTTCAACCAGCGACCTAAGGATTTCTGATTTACAACCCTACAGTCCTCCGCTCTACCAACTGAGATATCGAAGGGAACGTGCAGTGATTATTTACAGGGGTGTACATCGACTTTTACAAACAAAAATGACAGGGGACAGGGGACAGGGGACAGGGGACAGGGAACATCCCCCATCACCCCTACCTGAAAGCAAAACTATTTCAATTTGTTTCAAATCGAAATGACAAAGGAACAGACACACAATGATGACAAAATCCCATCATTTCCCATGGATAAACTGAAAGAATTCAAAGCAGCTGACAGGGACATTCCTAATCCATTCAATCAAAGCAGGCTTTTTGACATCAACAAAGAACACATCCTTCAAGCCGGAGTTGAACCAGCGACCTAAGGATTTCTGATTTACAACTCTACAGTCCTCCGCTCTATCAACTGAGCTATCGAAGGGAACATGCAGTGATTATTTACAGGGGTGTACATCGACTTTTACAAACAAAAATGACAACAAATAATTTCCCCCATCACCCCTACCTGAAAGCAAAACTATCTCAATTTGTTTCAAATTGAAATGACAAAGGAACAGACACACAATGATGACAAAATCCCATCATTTCCCATAGAAAGAATTCAAAGCAGCTGACAGGGACATTCCTAATCCATTCAATCAAAACAGGCTTTTTGAAATCAACGAAAAGTACATCCTTCAAGCCGTAGTTAAACCAGCGACCTAAGGATTTCTGATTTACAACCCTACAGTCCTCCACTCTACCAACTGAGCTATCGAAGGGAACATACAGCTACCATTTACAGGGGTGTACATCGACCATTTACAGGGGTGTACATCGACATTTACAAACAAAAAGGACAACAAATCATTTCCCCCATCACCCTTACCTGAAAACAAAACTATCTCAATTTGTTTCAAATCTAAATTACAAAGAAATAGACACACAATGGTGACCAAATCCCATCATTTCCCATAGATAAACCGAAAGAATTCGAAGCAGCTGACAGTGACATTCCTCATCCATCCAATGAAAGCAGGCTCACAATATTTGATATCATTGAAAAGCACATCCTTCGAGTCGGAGTTGAACCAAATTTCAAAGCAACAGACCATCCGACAGGGATACCACTGTGTATTAGCACACTGATGAATTTGCAGTCTGCTATGACCTAGTATCACACCTCAACAAAATTACCTATTTACCTACTAAATACAGGTTTGATCAAGGAGAAAAGCATACAGCAATCATGGATCACAAAAACAATCTTATACAAGACTTTGTTTTTCTTCGTCCTTTGGTTTCTGTTTTTTTGTCAGTCCATATACAATTTGGATTTTTTAAAGATCAAAGTTCTTTTTGTTCCTATTAAGTTCAGGTGTGTTGTGTTTAAGTTTGTGTTTTTGTTATACAGTAGTTTTTTCTCTACCCAAGTAGTGTTTAGCATGAATGAGATTTAATGCGCTTATTTTACAGAAGTAACGTTCTTGATACTCCAGGACAATTGTTAATAAGCTGGACTGTCTTCCTGATCATGGAATGGATTCTGGCTTGACACTGGGTCACCTCGCTTTAGGAATAGTCTCAGACTCAGAAAAAACAAGGGGTAGAAAAAAAATGTACATGCAAATCGCAGGGGAAATATCTCATTACTTGTTGTACAATAATTCCTTTATCACTCTGTGACCTTAGTTCTTAATCTCGATCTCTTTGAAGGTAACTTAACTCAATTTACTTATAAAATGAATTAAATGTGTTTTAAACAAACATTGTACCTTTTCACTTGTGAATTTACAAAATTACATAAGTCTAAATTATTGCACTTCTTATGTTTAGATGGTTTACATTCTGTGAATAATGCTAGAAGTAAAACCCATGACTCTCTTATACATGTTAATCACAAAATTGCGTTTAGCAATGTCATTTTCAAAGACTACTAGCAATGTCATTTTCAAAACTCATGTTTTCAAAGACATGAGTTTACTTATTAAACTTAGAAAACCACTTTGACATGTTAACATAAATATCTGTGATTGGTTTATAATATTCGAAAATCAAATACACGACTTAAAACCACGTGGCTAATCACTATCTTAAATGCTACTATTCAGACCTTAACTCACCAGAGAGTCAATAATAAATCAAAAACAAAACATCAATGTCCCAAAGAAAAACAATGCTCTGGTCTACAGTCCAGGAATATAAGAGGTTCTACTCTGTTTAAACATAAAAACTTCAGGCAAAATGTTCACAAAAACGCCTGGTGTGTCTCCTTCAATCAGTTCAGGCGGGCTGTTTACTTTCACTTTCCTACTAGCATGAAGTAAAAATCACACACGCTACACATTCTCATGGCGCCATCTAGCAATTAATTATACATGTCAATTTTATGGGGGTTACAAAATAATTTCCCCCATCACCCCTACCTGAAAGCAAAACTATATCAATGTGTTTCAAATCGAAATGACAAAGGAATATACCCACAATGATGACAAAAGCCCCTCATTTCCGTTAGATTAACAGAAAGAATTCAAACCATCTGACAGGGACAATTTTTTTATTCACCCATCAAGTTGAGTCATGAATTGCACGGCTTTGATGACGATTTGTCATCCATCCACTCCAACCAGGCTCACAATATTGGTTGTCAACAAAAGAACGATCTTCGACTTCCTGCAACTTAAGGAAGACTGTTTTACCATCCTACAGTTCAACTCTACTAACTTAGCTCGAAGAGAGCAGACAGTGTATACCAGGGAAGGGTAGCGACTATAACAAGCTATAATGCCAACTAACCAACCCCGCTTAAATCTTCCCACACACATTCATCACAAGGTGTCTTAAGCTCTTATTTAGATGGAGCATTACAAACAATCTGACCAGGACAATATTTCTATTCTTTCAAACAAATTGAGTTATGAACTACACGTCTTTGATGACGGTTTGGCATTGATCAAATTCTCACAATATTGGACTTTTGTATTTAACTGCAGAAATGAATATATGAGTTATTTACTAATTCATACAACTTTAACTCCTTTCCTGTCAGCACATGGGTTATTGGTTAATTTGCTGCATCAAGTTTTGCTTAATTTAAATGTTTTCTTTCATGACGTTAGTGCATTTATGTATATAACCCAATATATAATTTGTAAACATTTATCCACTTAAACAATGACAGCCAGTAAGAGCAGGTTAAACAAATAAAAACACAGATTATGAGAGACAGATTTAGGTTAAGACACGGCTTAAAGATATTCTTAAAATTTCACATTTTATTACAATTGTACAAAACCTGAAAGACAATTGTTCCTCCTGCAACATAGCTTCTTCACTGAAACGCAATTACGTCATCCATACAAAAATCTGTTATTTACAATTGCTCACAAAATATTTAAAAGTTTCTTCTGAATTTAATTCACAACAATATCAATATATCATACTATCACAACACTATAAAAGTAATTTATCCGTGGTTGTTTTTTTTTTTCTATTTTAGACTTTCTACATATAACATACCCAACAAACCCAGTCTTGTTCTGTAATGACTTTGATGGAAAATTAAGTTCATCAGAAATAACATGTCTTAAACACACTGCAGTTTTACACTTGAATCTTACTGACCCCTCATCTTCTTCTGGAAAAAACTCCATGCAATTACTCAGATTTGGCTTTTCATTTATGTTGTAGTTAACTTCATTGATGAAATGTCAGTGAACTGAAATTACATTATTATAAAACCATGCATGGAAAATGGTTGGGATCTTTTCTAAAACCAGGGAAGACAAAGAAAGATGTTTCCAGAGTCAGAGCAGTAGGCAGTATGTCAACCTGATCTCTCATTTGCAGTAATGTGGAGACTTGAATCTGGGATTTCAGATATACTTGTATGAGGAGTGGGTAGGGGATATGGTTGGCTGGTTAAGACAACTGTTGTAGCTGGGGGAACTGGTGTAGCAAGGCGGGTTATCAAGTTCAGAAGGTGATCCAATACTGTTGCTTGATGAGTCATCCATGGAGGGGTCCTGCAAAACAGTACAACTTCAGCAAAAATACATTCCCTGCTAACGATAACACAGGCAAACATAGTTCCAATTTATTTAAATAGTATGTACATATGTAAAGTAAAAGACTCCTATACCCCCTCATTTAAGCACTCAATGACCTTTGTCAGTCTCATTAGTTGCCTATTAGTGACAATCATTTAGGCTGGAGAATTTGTGGGTCCATACGTAAGCGCCTTTTACACATTCATTGCACAAATTTCTAAATGTGTTTACCTGGACTTAAGCAGTCATTATCCTGCTAGCCCCCAAGTATGAAGTCAGTTTAATGTTAAAATTATGCCCACTTTATTTTGATTGGTCAACTCTCTGGAAGCCTTCTCAGGGCAGGGTTGCTATGGTAGAACAGCCAATGAAAACTGCTACACTTGCCTACGTAGACGCTAAAGCTCATCAAAGTCTCACTTTAACTTTGGGGAAGTATTGCATATTTAGCAGGACAAGTCATTTAGCGTTCTCTGCAGACTCATCTCGGGATTACTCTAACATACGTTTACCATTATCTAAAACTTTGCCAACATTTAATTTGGCCATCCAGAATTGTAACACTAGGTGAATTTTAAAAGTGGGGTCAGCCTAATAAGTAATCTTTAAGTAAAACATTTTTTTTATTCAATAACAGATATCCCTGTATTAAAAGCAGAACTCTAAAAAATGTTTTATAATGACAGAGGCTTTAATTGCTTCTGATTTCTTTATGCCACTTAAACTGAATAACAGAATGTATTTAAAAAAAACATGGTTCTGATGTGAGATACCTTTTGCTGCAGGATGTAGAGAGAAGTTACAGCATTTATTCCATTGTGCTCTGCATTTTTTGGAAATAGGTCATCTGAAGCGAAACATAAAACATTCAGTCATTCACATTTCTCAAAAGGGATTCATTGACATTATAAGAAATTAGCTGATCACTTGGTATAATAACTTTAATCAATGTAGAAGTAAATTCAGTATGACTATACTACACCTGCATGCTTGATTGGTGAGTGATGACAGTGATCATAGAGCCTAGGGAGAGGCTTTCTTTGTGGAGGTTTTGTCCTGTTAAAGGTAATCATTGAATAGTTATAAGGTATTTTGTTGCACCCTGGACCTGCCTGTTTTAAATTGTAATTAGTTTGTTTAGTTTTCATTTTAAAGCCTTAGCAACTCTTACTTTTTGGATGGTGTCCAACAGGCACATACTGTTACCAAGGTGATGAGAACAAAGATGCCGCCAGTGGACAGGATGATGTAGAGGGAACTTCTTCCTAGTAGAATATGCAAAATGAAGAGTAATTCAACAGTAAATGAGAAAATTAATTCATTTGAATCTTTTTTTGTACATTTTTAGGGTACAACTACTTTCAGCGATGTTTCTGATTCGACTTCTCCTGTCCAGACTGAATTGTCTAAACATTTTGTTATAGACTTTCATCAACATTTTCTTTGCATATATCTAAGGTGATCCAAAGAATACATTTGACCAGCTAAGGTTAAAATGGTGAATAGGTCACAGGTCACACCTACCCATTCACACACTGATGGCAGAGGTTGTTATGTAAAGTAACACTGCTGACAAAGCAGCGAGAGCAATTTGGGGCTAAGTGTCTTGCTTAAGGACACATGGGGCTGCAGGACCTGAGGATTGAACCCCTTACCTTCTGGTTGAGAGACAACCGACTCTACCACTGAACCACAGCTGCCACTAAACATTCTGAATGTTCTTCTTGATGCACCTGCAGTTGTTTGTAAAGACATTAAATATTGTAATGTTTGTAATCCTCTGAGCAAAAAAACCTTTACTATTCTTTGGACATTAATGAAATCTGGCATATATAGCCCAGGATGCTGGCATAGCTCAGTTGGCAGAGCAGATGTCTCATATATAGATGTTACAGTCCTCAATACACTGACTGCTGGTTCAACTCAGATGGGGCCAATTGGCGCATGATATCCCCAAGTCTCTCTCCCCATAGTTCCTCTTATCTTTCCCTAGCAAATAAAAGCAAAAATGGCCAAAAGAATAGTCTATTTTCATAAAGCCATGTTTCTTTTTTTAAGTTATCATCGAATTAGCATTGTTCTTCTGGGCACAGAGATTTTGACTTTCAGATATCTTTCAATGCTTAATAGAATCTGAAAATATAAATATAATTAAATTGATTAAGTTGATTAAGTAAAATATATTGTCTCGTGCTTGGATAGGCTTTTTGTGTTTCCCTTATGCCACGAAGCAAAGAATTACAGTATCACTTACTGTAGACAGTAAGCCGTAGAGGCAGGCTGGTCATATTGCCAACAGGATTCTCCACTGCGCAGGTATAAATGTCATCGTCTGCCATC